CTCTGCCCAGTTCATTAGTAAACGTGAACATCCGAGAACTAAACTTAATTAGTTTTGTTGCAGATTCGAAAATATATTGTGTAAATAAATACATATACGCTGAGCACTCCTTGTAAGTTGTCGCCGAGGTTTTTCCATTATTTGGAACATATATGAATAATTTGTCCGGCGTTTTATAGTTGCACTTTAGCGCTTATAATATGAATGATTCATTTTTCATTAAAGAAACCGAACAAAACTAACTACTGATTGTATACAATGGCAAGTGTTGTAGTAAGGTTCGTCTTGCTTGGCACGGCGTGACGTCATTCAAGGTGCCATAACAGTTTGGAGCATTTTTGAGCTATATTCAATTTTTGTAAAACCCGAAATATATAATGCAAAAGTTAGATTTTTTGGGAAAAACGGTTTTTGGCCCATATAGATATTGAGGTATATTACCAAGAAATTTTACAAATTTCGTCAACTATACTATGTATTATCAAAACACGATTCTATGGTGGTATGATTCTTAGATTAGCGTCGATTATCATTAGTATCAATTACATCAAAGATCTTTGAAAATGTTCATCGCGATTCGTTAACAGGCTCTGCTGTATTAGCGTTTCTGATGCCTCCCTTGTATTGCTGGAGATAATCCATTTTCATGCGGCATCATATGGAGCATATTTCTTTTGCAGGTTGTCGGACAGGCAAACGCTGGCATTGGTATCTCTCACGTCACTAGCCGTGCTTTTTCTTGATAACGGGGCGCGCAGGAATCCACGTTAAATATTTATTCATTCATACCTAGAACGATCCATTGTAGCCGTCATGACATTTTCTTTTGAATTATGGATGTCGGCGGACCCTTAGCACCAGCGGGAGGTTGAGAATATCTACTATCAGTCTTCATGTCTTGATGGACGTCTCCTAGCTTTTAATATGTTATGTGTTTGTTTTATTTTTAGTTTTGTTTAATCAGCTTTTTTATCTTTTTTAGTTTTACTAAAGTTATGCTATTTCAAGGTTTAATTGTCTCTAGCTATCGACTAATGCCCAGCACAATTTTATCTTTTTGAGAGTTTTCGTGTTTATGGTACAATTGTATTATTGGAATATATTCCTTGTAAATTATTTCTTTTCCTACAATAAACCACTACTACCTCTTGAGAACCCGAAGGTGTTAGCTGACGTGTGATGTGTGCCTGTGATGGCAAATGATTTAAGGCAGGCATGACCATCACAGATAAAAAAATTTCAATCGTATATTGCCTTCCAAGCAGGGTAACTATAGCTTGGAACTTACTAGTTGCTCAATTATTCGGCTTTTTATACCGACGCAGCCGCGTAGGAGGAGGAGGTTATGTGAAGTACTTCTTAGCCAAAATAAATATTTTAGCTTTTTTACAGGTTCTGCCGCTATGGACGTGTTCGTGCCAGATATAGTCCTCGGTGGTCTGGACTCCGACAAGTCGAAGTGGACGGCTCTTTGACGTCGAAATCCGATGAGCGCTGAGCGTTTGGAGGGTTTTTGTTCGTCAGGGAGGAAGTCGCTGTTATTCTTCTTTTCTCCAGCTCACCGGCAGAGATCGACCTGCCTCTCTGAATTCCTGCATGTAGAGTGCTGTCATTAGCAAAGCCGTGGATCGGATTTATCGTTCAGGACAAAAAGTCGTAGATATGTAAGAGGGAAAATGTTGAAGCCAAGATCGATCCTTCGGTAACACCCGCGTTGACATTGTGGTATCAAAAAGAGAACCCATCAAATACGACAGATATCTTGCAGCCAGAGAGGAAGTCAACCACCTAAGGTTCTCTGGGAGGTCATACAATGGACGTTGGGATAAGAGAGCTGCATGCCACAAGTTGAAGTTACCTAACCGATAAAGTTGCACCCCCACTGAGCAGAATCGACGAGTAGAGACTGAACTATATTATACTAAGTGACATATAAATCCGAACACCCAGTTTAAATGGTTTTATTTTAATAAAATTTTGGATAAGTACTTAATGAAGCATAATAACTAAATGATAAAAATTTCAAAATGATTGCACTGCTTTAAAGCCCTTTGACCTTTAATAATGTGTGGATGCACCCTGATGTGCTACGCATTCTCCAACGCGCCTAGGCATGCTTCTGATCAGGTGGTCAATGTCCTCCTGTGGTATCTCATTCCAGGCAACCACCAACTCCTCTCGAAGTGCTTCTAGAGTCTGAGGAGGACGTTGCAAATTGAGCAATCTCTTACCCATCATATCCCACTCGTGCTCAATTGGGGATAAGTCGGGAGATCTTGGTGGCCATGGTAACAATGTGACATCATTATGTTGAAAGAAGTCTATTGTGACTCTTACAACATGTGGTCGGGCTTGTTGGAAAGTTGGATCTGCCAGGGTGTCAAGATAGGGTAAAAGATGGGGTTCTAGAACTTCGTGGATATAATGCTGCGCGTTCATGTTACCTCTGATGAAGATTAAAGGTGACCTGGAACCATAAGCTATAGCACCCCAAACCATAACTCCAACAGTGTGATGAACATGTCTTTCAACAAAAAACTGTGGATTCCTCCATTCACCACGTCACCTTCTAACCCTGGCACGACCATCGTGCATGCCTAAGCAAAATCGAGACTCGTCACTAAAGACCACCACTCAAGGCGATTACGTCGGTGTAAGGGTTAGAAGGCGATGTGGTGAAAGGAGTAGTCCACAGTTTTTTGTTGAAAGACATGTTCATCACACTGTTGGAGTTATGGTTTGGAGTGCTATAGCTTATGGTTCCAGGTCACCTTTAATCTTCATCAGCGGTAACATGAACGCGCAGCGTTATATCCACGAAGTTTTAGAACCCCATCTTTTACCCTATCTTGACACCCTGGCAGATCCAACTTTCCAACAAGATAATGCCCGACCACATGTTGGAAGAGTCACAATATACTTCTTTCAACATAATGATGTCACATTGTTACCATGGCCACCGCGATCTCCCGACTTATCCCCAATTGAGCACGTATGGGATATGATGGGTAGGAGATTGCTCAATTTGCAACGTCCTCCTCAGACTCTAGAAGCACTTCGAGAGGAGTTGGTGGTTGCCTGGAATGAGATACCACAGGAGAATATTGACCACCTGATCAGAAGCATGCCTAGGCGCGTTGGAGAATGCGTAGCACAGCAGGGTGCATCCACACATTATTAAAGGTCAAAGGGCTTTAAAGCAGTGCAATCATTTTGAAATTTTTATCATTTACTTATTATGCTTCATTAAGTACTTATACAAAATTTTATTAAAATAAAACCATTTAAACTGGGTGTTCGGATTTATATGTCACTTAGTATATATAGTACTCTGTGGATTTCTTGGTGATTGGTGCTTTGTTTCTCGTCTGGAACATTGGAGTTTAACAAATCCGACTTACCATTGTCATCTTGGAAACGGCAAGATACACGAAGTTGATTAGATGAGGGAACAGCGCGCATTTAGGTAACTAAGAAATGGCGTTTAGAAAGTTTCCCATTCCCAGAAAACCGTTTAAAATAAACAGTACATCAACACTTTTTTACTTGACATAATTGGAATTTTATTATAACGTTTCGTCTCTTTCGTTCAATCATCAACTTTATTTTTCCTTGTAACGGGTGTTTTTTTTCGAGGTATAGAACTTTAAGTTGGCTTTACTTTTGAAGATGGCGACCGATTTGACAGCTGTCAAGTGATTTATTCTCAGTTTGGTTTGGCAATTCATTATGAATAGACTCACGCCTGAACAACGCTTGCAAATTGTGCAGTTTTATTTCGAATACGGAATACGTATCGCGCACTACGTCCATTTTATCATCGACAAAATCGTCCATCAGAACAGTTAATTCGATTAACCATGGAACATTTTCACACCACGTTTACTCTAATTGATAACTCGCATCCCCAGAGACGCCGTACGGTGCGTACAGGAGAAGCTATTGCTACTGCAGAGCGTAGCATTGAGGAAGACCCGAATGAGTCCATCCGCCATCGAGCACAGGAAATGGATTTGTGTCCATCCACTTTATGGATGATTTTGTGAAAGGATCTTGGTTTGCGTGATTACAAAATCCAACTCGTGCAAGAATTGAAGCCAAAATATCATCAAGCAAGGCGTAAATTCGTTGAATGGGCCCAAAACGAGATTGCCATGGTTCCCGATTTTCATAAGCGAATTTTGTTTAGCGATGAAGCGCATTTCTGGTCGAATAGCTACATCAACAAAGAAAACTGCCGCATTTGGAGTGAAGCTAATCCTCAAGACTATGTCGAAACACCGTTACATCCAGAAAAACTGACTGTTTGGTGCGCTTTATGGGCTGGTGGAATCATTGGTCCGTACGACGATGGCCAGAACGTTACCGTCAATGGTGATCGGTATAGAGCCATGATTATTAACTTTTTCATTATAGAATTGAACAATCATGATGTCCACGATCTGTGGCTCCAATAAGATGGCACAACATGTTACATAGCTCGTGCTACAACAGATTTATTGAAAGGCACGTTTGGTGACCGCATAATTTCACATTTTAGACCTGTGAATTGGCCTCCAAGATCTTGTGATTTAACACCGCTAGACTATTTTCTGTGGGTCTATGTAAAGTCATTGGTCTATGCGGATAAGCCACAAACGCTTGACCACTTGGAAGACAACATTCGCCATGTTATTGCCGACATACGACCACAAATGTTGGAAAAAGTCCAAAATTGGACGTCCAGACTGGACTACATCCGAGCCAGCCATGGCAGTCATATGCCAGAAATCATGAAGATGCGCAGATGGCGCCCTGTGAGTAAAGACACGTTTGCAATCTGCAGCTAAGTTTTTCCAAAAATTTTCAGTAAATATTCAAGTGTCCCCTCCTCAGTGGTGTTTTTCCGCAGTAATGTTTTGAGCTCATTCACGAATCGTTAAAGTTTGTTCCATTTTCCACCGATATTTTGTCCTACACAGTGCTGTTTTGTGAGGTTAGAAACCGCGCAGAAAATAAACATGGGTTTTTCAGATAACGACGATGAGAAAATTAAAGGTATATTCACTGATCGGTTTCTACAGACTATTGCCGAAAGAGTTGCCCAGCTCCTTGCAAGGAAGCATGAGACAAGGCTGCGAGAGCAGGAACAGACCATCGTTGAACTCAAACAAGAGATCAGGGACCTTAGGGACACGCAGGACAGAATTCTACGGACGGCTGATGACCAGGAACAGGCATCTCGAAACCTTAATGTAAATGTATTTGGCCTAACCATGGAAAACCCTGAGAATTTACATAAAAAGGTACAGGACATTTTTAAACGTATGAAAGTAAACATCGATGAATCATGTATTGTAAAATGCCATAGGGCACAACCAAAAGCTAACAATAATAAACCGCCTGCAGTTTTAATTCGTTTTTCCTGCGAAGAGGATCGGTCGTCAATCCCTAAAAATCTAAAATATTTGCGTTCTACGGGTGTGTTAATAAAAGAAGGTTTAACGAAAAAGCGTCTGGACCTCCTTGTGGCCGCTGTAAACAAATATACTTATAAAAATGCCGCCTGGTGTCGTAATGGTCCTGTGTTTGTGAAACTTGGTGACGTTATGCATCGCATTAATAACTCGGGAGACTTGCAAAAACTCGTGAGTTAGATGTGTATTCCTGATTCCTTTTGCGAGGGCTGTAGGGGTGTACAAGCGCCAAATGGAAAATACTACGCACTTATTTTTCCATTCATCTGGTTAATTTGATTGAAAGTTGATTCATCTCATAACATATGTATATATTAAATAAACCACATTACTATGGATAGCATGTACATCTTATGTGATTTTGTTTAGAGGTATGGACATCATAGTTATGCTATCACATCTACTCGTATTATAATACCTATATTGTACTATTTACTACTTGAATTATACAACTACATTTTTTCCTGTTGTAGGATTTATTTTTGCATGATACACTTAATTAAGTATGTATGAGTCGATGTGTTCTGTGTTGATTTTCAATTCGACGAAACTAGTGTAAAGCACAGAATGACAGTCCTTAATTGTTTTGGTTTTTTATTCTATAAGGTTAAGAGTAGAGTTTTTCATGAGCATGGCATATGAATTTCTGTATGGGGTACTTAGAAAAGAAGCTTGTTTTGCACGGCTGCAGGTTCAAACATTATTTATTCAATTTTTTGTGTACTAAGTATTTCAGATATTTGTCTACCTATATTAATTTCTATACTAGTTCCTCTATTTTCTTATCCCTTGCTTCCTTTCTGCCACTCCTTCTATGCGCTGTGCACATATTAATGTCAGATCTCTCATAAATAATTTCGACAGTTTTAAAGAAGATGTTTTTGACAGTAATTATCATATAGTTGGCATTACAGAGAGCTTGTTAACTTCTAATATTGACAGTGATATGACTTGCTTTAATGGTAATAGATTTGTCAGGCAAGACCGCGTGACCCGCGGCGGTGGTGTTGGAATATATCTAAAATCTAACCTGAAATTTAATATATTGAAGAGTGAGTGCAAGGACATAATTGAGCATATTTGGGTTAAAATTCAGCTTGAAAAAGAAATAAAGGATATCTGAATTTAAAATTTCAGAATTGCTCCATGATGCCGCCTCACCATTTGTCTGCCAGACAGATGTACCAAACTTCCGCCTTCCATCCTAACCGTGTCCAGCTTCGTACATACAGAACTAGCCGATACGGCCGCTCATTTGTCCCTAGGATGTCGAGATTGTGAAACAATCTACAATGGGAGGCTAATAATCTTAGATAGTTCAAAAATCAGATCGACAAAGTTTCTTTGTGATTCTCATACCAGCCGCGGTGCCCTGGCATTTGGGCTTCTATTGGCGCAGCTGCTTCGGTATAAAAAAATACAGTTTTTATGAACTAGGCGTAGGCGAGTAGTCCCTATTAACGATTTTAAGATGTGATATTAAACACGACATGACATGGTTATGTCATTAAGCTTCAAATGTATAAAAGGATCTTACCATAGTTGGTCTTAAGTCATCGAATAAATAATAACAGCATGCTAAAACTTTTCCGTATTATTTAATGGAAGTATTGAAAACATTGACGATATTATTTTATGTAAGTGATAGAAACGTTATAGAGTAAATAAATGCCGCGGTGACGTTGCAGCTTCCACATTTCGTAACCGGAATACCTAAACCGATACACATTCCTTGCATTCACATACTACTAATCGACAGCTGACATGTCATATAGAGCGCCTCCATCCTGATGAAATAACGCTTGTTATAGCCAATAGATGGGCAAATTATCTGAATGCTCTTTGGACACGCTTTCAAAAATTGAAGCATTGATTATTTAATCGGCTAAGCATTCAATGAACAACTGCCACTTCCCAGGCCATCCACGAAAGTATTAGTCTTTATTAACTAACCTAGGTGTGACAGTTTCATTATGGGACATATACTAAGTGACATATAAATCCGAACACCCAGTTTAAATGGTTTTATTTTAATAAAATTTTGTATAAGTACTTAATGAAGCATAATAAGTAAATGATAAAAATTTCAAAATGATTGCACTGCTTTAAAGCCATTTGACCTTTAATAATGTGTGGATGCACCCTGATGTGCTACACAGTCTCCAACGCGCCTAGGCATGCTTCTGATCAGGTGGTCAATCCCCTCCTGTGGTATCTCATTCCAGGCAACCACCAACTCCTCTCGAAGTGCTTCTAGAGTCTGAGGAGGACGTTGCAAATTGAGCAATCTCCTACCCATCATATCCCACACGTGCTCAATTGGGGATAAGTCGGGAGATCTTGCTGGCCATGGTAACAATGTGACATCATTATGTTGAAAGAAGTCTATTGTGACTCTTGTAACATGTGGTCGGGTATTATCTTGTTGGAAAGTTGGATCTGCCAGGGTGTCAAGATAGGGTAAAAGATGGGGTTCTAGAACTTCGTGGATATAACGCTGTGCGTTCATGTTACCTCTGATGAAGATTAAAGGTGACCTGGAACCATAAGCTATAGCACCCCAAACCATAACTCCAACAGTGTGATGAACATGTCTTTCAACAAAAAACTGTGGATTCCTCCTTTCACCACGTCGCCTTCGACCCTGGCACGACCATCGTGCATGCCTAAACAAAATCGAGACTCGTCACTAAAGACAATACTGTTCCATTCCTGATCCCAGAGTGACCGTTGTCTGCACCACTCAAGGCGATTACGTCGGGGTTCTCGAGTTAAAGGGAGGACCCAGTGTGGCCGGTATGAAAACAATCCAAAACTTCTCATTCGTCGGTAAACACTTCGCATGCCAATAGGTCTTCCGTGATCTGCAAACCGTTCATTTGCAATGGACCTGGTAGTGGAGAAACGGTCCCTTAAGGCCAATAATCTTAGGCGGCGATCTTCACGGTCTGTTGTTCTACGGCGGCGTCCAGTGCCCCTTGCTCTTTGCGTACGGGCTTCTCGAAGCCATGCCTGACAACACCTAACCACAGTGTCTACACTTCTTTGCACTCTAACTGCAATTGCCCGAAAAGAAAGTCCAGCTTCCCGAAGTCCCACTATACGGCCCCCATCAAACTCACTAAGTTGACGAAATCGTACAGGTCTCCGTACTCTAGGCATCGTAAGCGATCGTCAAGGATGTCAAGAACCAAAATCCGCCAACGTTGATTCTTTACTGTGGCTGAAATATTCATTTTTAGAGCGTTAGTGAATTAAAAAAAAGCAGTATAAAAACCGGAATGTCCAACTGATAAGGCTGAAAATTTTTTCACTTGTTATTTACAGTAAGATAAATACATTCACCAACTTTTATTAAAATAAAACCATTTAAACTGGGTGTTCGAATTTATATGTCAATTAGTATATTACACACTTGGAAATAGAATTAAAAAAACCTATTTACCTATATAGAAATCTGATACGGCGTCCATAAGAAAAGTGGAGTTGAGAGAGATGGATCGTTAAATTACAATGTTAGATATGCCATTTTGTTGAGGTAAGAAAGTGTCAGTTTAGTGTACTTGTTATTTTGAATTTTTATATCAAATAGGGCCATGAAAAAATCAGGGAGAATTAGTTTTTTTTAGTTTTTCTGTGGAAATGATCGGTATGGCAAAACTTGACTTGATTCATTATCTTAAATATCCAACTGTGCAACTTTGCTCCCAGATATTGACGAAATTTGAAACACCCGGTATAAAATTTCTGGCAAACACAAAGTTGGAATTGTGTCACCATCTCCATATTCTACCATCTATTCAATCTAGGTCAGTTCCAATCTTGACCTTTTGCGGCAGAAAAGCTTATATCCCATTATAATATTATATGTATATTTTGAATCCTGGCGAACAAGTTTATTGCGCACCTCCACAAAGGCAATGTCGCTGACATTTGGGATCGTTCTTGTCGGGATTAGGCGTAGTAATCATTATCCCGATCCTCCTTTTAATCAGAGTTCCTTGGAAGACAGATAAAGAGGAGAGGAAAATTCAATCCTCCCCAATTATGGTCGTTCGCCTCACGAGATGTGCCTACACAGACAAAACTCGCCGAACCGATCACGCCACGTTGCACGCTGCCCGGCCTGGCTTCTCAGTTTGAGTACTAAAATATTTGCCGAGCTTTCCGTTTACAGGCAGGCTGTAGAAGAAGAGGATCGTTGGCACTACGTAAACATTCTCAGAGGAGGTTGGATTTTTATAGGGAACAAATTGATGGTGGCCTTTCATTGACTTTAATGATTATATTGTGAAGGATTGCGCATTGCATTTCACATATTTTGCACATACATGGCTAACGAATTCTTACTCCATCGGTATCAATTTTGACAACGACTCACAGAGTGACGGTGATAACAGCCAAAGAGGTTCGATGGATGCTTATTTTTTTCATACCTTTGACACCACTGGACCAATGTTTAAAAAATGCATGTCTCTTGCCCCTTGTGGTTTGTTTCAAAATTTTAATGTGAAAGTCACAGAAAACCTAAGAATCTACTGATCACAATACAGTGTAATGTAATCCAAAAAACTATTTGTTTGTTCTTATTTTTTGTTATATTTGCGATTTTTACATTTTAAAAGCGCTCTCATACTTTGCTCTCTAAGAGAGTATTTATCAATTTTTTTTTCGAAGCACCTGGTTTAAGAATATAAAAATAAACTAAAAGCCCACGATGCTTGGACACGTACTGATACCTTGATGGAATTACCCGTTGGAGAATTAAAGAGCAAAAAAATTCTTTATTAGCCAGCTACAAACGGTATAAAAATAAAATCAAGAAATAGGAAAAATCTGGTGCTGGTGTCGACATTTAATTCTGCGTCCATCATCATCGAGCTCGAGAACTGTATTGAGAACCATGCAAGTGTGGACCCAAAGAAGTTCTCGTCGAGATTTTCGCTGAGATTCTTGCCGAGATTATCGGTACTAACAATATTGTTTAAAATAACTGTTGCTGTTTTGTAAAAAGTTCGTTTTTGTCGTAAATAAATAACTTAGGTATTTAACTGGTCTTCTAATTTTTGTTTTCTATAATGTTACATATTGTTAATGTTAATCAATAAATCCTTTGACGTTGTTTAAAAATTTAATAGAGTCTATTACCTATTGGAAAACATCTCCAATGAAGATGCGTA